CCAATGTCAACTTAAGAATCCAAGTAAATCATTGATCATCTATGTAATTTATATAATTATCTTCTTTGTAAAAATTCTTTCAGACCTTACATTTTAAATCAGGTCCATTTTAAGTAGGTTTTGCACAATGCATCAATATATAATCAGATGAAAGACAAAAAATTGTAAATTTAGGAGACTATGTAAAGGCTAGTTTAGCCAAAAAAGAAAATTCTTGGTCACACTTTATATTAGGTGTCCTTATGTATTAACATTAAATACCTAAAATGCATTTACTTTCTAAAGACAGTTTTGTTCTGGAAAATTTCCACATTTACAGAGTATGGTTAGGATTAGGTTTATAAGAGTTTTAGGTTAGGCCTACAATGCAAAAAAAAAAAAAATAGATTGTCATAGAGTTTTGGAAAGACAAAGAGATCTTCATTTGGGTGAACTAACCATTTAAAGATGATTTAAAATAGCTTTAAGCTGTTAGCATAAGCTTGCACACACAAATGCAGTTTGCACGGTGCCACCATGCAGAAATGTTTGTTTCATTCGTCCTCCTCCTTGTTTAAGCTGTGGTATGTGACTGTAGAGCATTGTGGATGTGTGCCATATAGACCTGCGTGAGATGACCTGAAGGCGGAGGTTTCGGCTGTAATGTGAATTCTCTCTCTCTCTTTCTCTCTCTTTACAGGTAATAAGTTATGGCTCTGGCTCCTGACAGGCGAGTCGCTTTGCGTCAGGACTTTAATAGAGGCCTTTAACATGGCTCATCCTTAGGAATTTACAATCCCACTCCCACCCACACATATACTCTCTGAGAGCAGAGTGGGAGAAACAAGGTGGCTATAGCGTACAGTCATGTAGTCCCGACAGAGAGCCGAGCGGAAATGTACCGCTGGAGGCAAAATGATGGAAGCAAGAGAGCCGTGTGTGAGTTTGACTGAGAGAAAGAGAGAGTGAGTTTTGCAGTTTTTGCCTTTGTCGTCTGTCTGTCTGCATGTGTGTGTGTGTGTGTGTGTGTGTGTGTAAAGTTGATGGGCTGTACATTTGCTCTGTAATTTCTCCCTCCCAGAGTAATCACTTCCATCTGGGACCTGCCCAGAGAGAGGCCCCAGATTGGAGGTGAGGGTTAGTCTCTCTCACACAACATTACAGTATGAGTCTCTACTCTCAGCTCTCTGAAATGTAAAACTAGTTTAGTCGGACTGAGCTCAAACTTTAGTTATATAGGAAAAGCATGAACTAAAAGACAAGATGACAAGTTACAAATAGAAGGAAAAAGATTTAAAAAAAAACAAAGGAACAGGAAGTGAGAACAAAAAGACTAGGTATCTATGCTCTACCAAAAAAAAAAAAAAGAAAGAATTACCAAACATGTAAAATGATATGCAGTTCAGTCTTACTGTGCTTACAGCAGAGTTAACAACGATGTACTGCCATCTGCTGGTTATTGTCATTCTCTGTATCTCCCTGAAGTCTAATTTAATCGATAGAATACCAAGGGCTATCCAAACTACATGTATGTATGTATGTATGTATGTATATGTATATGTATATATATGACAATGCTGAAAATGGAGAATCAACAATTTTTATTGTTAACTGCTGAGCAGTCATGTGATTTTGTCAGCTTGATTAACATTATTACTATTTAACACGAAGTTACGACGTCACTCTGTAGGCTAAAACCATAGGCCAAAACGCGGAATTTAGTTAGCATTTCAGCACTAGTCTACCGGTTTTTCGATCGAGGGAAACCCATGCGCCGCTAGCTTCCGAGTTGTCCTACAACGTGACGTCATCACTTCGACACTCTATTACAGAAACTAGCCTATAGCTCAATTCAAAAGTATAAATATATATTTATAAAATGTATAAGCGTATTTGTATGGTCCTCGAATGTGTTCGAATATTTCACCAGTGTCAGCCTTTTCACCGTTTGTATCACTCCGCTTGTCTGTGTTTTCCCAACTTGCATCAAGCCAGTAGGTGGCGACAAGTAACTTTATTTATCAGTGAACGAACTGATTAGTGCCAAAAACATTGATTAACTAAGAAACTGGTTGCTGAAGCCAATCTTTAATGCTAATACATTATTGCTCATTTGCCTCTGGAGTCTGGACACAAACAGATTGCACTGGTGTTTGTTTGAAATACATCTATGAAAAAATAATCCTTGAAAGATTTCTCTTTAAAGGTCATTCCTGTATGGAATATGTGATTGTGTATTGTCAACAATAAGCAGAAACATTCTGCATTTCCATGTGTGGATCATTCATTTCAACATTTATTCTCATTCTCATATTTAAGAATCTGTTATCTGCTTGACAAATAATTTATGCTACTGCCCACTGACATGCTTTTAAAGCTATTGTTATCCAATTTTTATGACCTCCAAACACCTTAAATGCACATATGTAGGTCTGAGGAGTCCAAATTTTCTCGGGGGAGATTTTCTTTTCCCGAACACCCCTAACTATACCTCACATTTGAATGTGCGTATAACTGTGTGGCAATGTGGGCTGGTGCGGTTAGTTACAGTGCCAGGAATGTATTTTTCTTAACAGTCTACCCCCTGCACATAGGCCTGCAATAGACACTTCTCTGTATCAAATCATGTTATCTTATTAACCACCCCAGCCCCTGATGTTTCAGGTTCAGCCCCTGATGTTTTTAAAACCTAGAAACGCCCCTGCTGCCAAGACCAAATAGGCCTACATTAACATTGCCATTTCCATTACCATGCCAATCTCTCAAAGAGTTTTCATGATAGAAATATTCAGTATAACAGTTTTAAATATTGTTTTAAATGGGGTTCATCCTGCAGGTTTATCGACTTCCTAGAAGTATTTCATTTCTTAAGCACGCATTCACAGAAAATCAAAGCAACATCAAAATGATCATACAGGAAATCTACTGAATTCCATATACCACAGGAAACTGCACAAACAAACAGCATTGCTTGTTTGTGGGGAATTGAAGTGTTTGAGAGAATAAAAGTAACTTCAATCAGAGCATTTTTTAAGGCAACAGCTGTAGAGAATTACAATGCTCAGTATTTTATCCAGATTCTGATGACAAGCGTGAGGAAACAAACAAATGAAATAAACCACAGGGAATCATTTACTACACAGATGTGCTTCAATAAAATGACTGCACGCACGTTACCATTTAAAATGCCCTTCAAAATCATTAATCATCAGAAAGGTTTTCAGATTCTGACAAATGTTTTTAAATCATCTTTATTATTTATTTACATCAGCTATCTATATCATAGTTCACCCACCTATCTAAGCATAAATGGTTTTCAGCCATTTCATCTGAAAAGTCAAATAAAAGCCACGACACCTAGGTGAACATAGCAGGTGTGTGTCAGAGGGTTCTACTTGTACATGAGAACCACATCAGAGTTATTTGTGTTTTAATTTAGTTAATTCCAGCAAATATTCCCCACTTTAGACTAAAAAGATAACAGGTCTTTGAAGTATTACTGTAGCTGGCGTGTTCTCATGTGTTATTCCTCATTCTTTCCACTAGAGTGCACACGATTCTCACCCTCTTTCAAATTCAGGAAAAAAGATACACGACAATAACAGGATTTTACAAAGTATATTAGTTGATTACTGCAACAATTGAAGCCCACTTTTTTATACATAATGCACATTTGATGTTCATTGCACAAAGCGCTCTTTAATTATTTCATTATTTTTGGTCCAACTTTATGTGTGAGAGAGAGTATAATATAATATTTATGATTATTTGCACATATCATTTACTTTTGAACCAGAAAGTGTAACATTTGAAATTACTGCAATCACTTTACCATACATATATTTTTTAAATGTACAGGAAATCCTTGTGCGACAAATGAGTCAAATATTTATTTGTCTGCTTTGTTTTTTGTTTCCAGTTATTCATGGATTCTTGTCCAGGATCTTCCTGCATTCCAACCATAACAACATTAACAGACCTTTGATGGGCTGATTGTACACTACCCCCTTAATTAACAGTTAGTGGATTTACTCTCTACAAAAACAAAGCTGTGGGACTTCCTCTTGCTCCTGGCAAGCATTTCATTCATGTTACAGTAATTTCAAAGTTCATTATGTTTTAGTTTCAAATACACATGCAGTAACATTGTTTTTCTGCATTATTGATTCCAAATGAGTGTGTTCACATGCTCAAGGTCTTTAGTGGATGTTTGGGTTTCTCTGTGGACTGGCATGTCCAAAGCAAACAGCTCCTCATCACACACCACTGCACACTGCAGTTTTTCTCACTTGGCCTATCTGGTTTTCATGTGGATTTTTGTTCATTACACTTCTTAAAATAGCTTGATTTACATTAAATTTGACACGTTACTCAGTAAATTTATATTCTTCATTCAGCAATGATGCATTAAATTAATCAAAAGAAGACTGGAGTAATGAGCTTTGCCAAGACAGGAATAAATTACATTTGAAAATATATTCAGATAGAAAACAGTTATTTTGAATTGTATTAATATTTCACAATGTTATTAATATTATTTTTATTATTTTACTGTTTTTGATCAAATAAATGCAGTCTTGGTGAGCATAGACTTCTTGAAATGTTCTTGCATTTGCAGACTAAATGACACAGATTCGAAACAATCAAGCACAGTTTTCTTTCCAATAGAAACAAGCACACAAGCAAAGTTCAACTGATAACATGGCAGTAATTACAGAAGGAAAAGGAATGGGGAATGCCTGACCTTTGATTCAGTTTTTTAATCTGCTATTTGTCTATCTTTGTCTCCCTTTTCAATATCACTGACATGACACAATTTAGTCTACTTTTCCAAAGTATTAATGAATATAACACTCTATGTTTCTCTCTCTCTTTCTCTTCTCTTAAAGAAACTGTGTTAAAGATAAATGGTGAAATGGTGTGATAGTTGCGGGTGAGGTCTGTGGGGAGGTGCTAAATCTAACCCAGCACGAGGACAATCTCTCGCAGAACAAATGAATAAGGCTTCAGTGGTGGGGAGGAGTCATAAATAAAGAAAGAACGCAGAGAACAACACGGGTCAGAGGACATGTGTGTGAGCAGACACAGGAAAATACGAGGCGTCTGATAAGAAAGCTGGGAAATGACTTGGGTTTTATGAAACGGGTTTATACTGAGAGGAGAAATGAGTGTCACTGATGGGAAGACAGTTATGTGTCCACTTTCAGGATACAGCTGTCAGGCTCCAAGTCAAAGGCGGCCAGTGAACAAGGGTCCCGACCCACACACAAAACTACATTTAACACAGTCGTGAAGAAGCCTGAAGAGACTTTCAGCACAGGCAAGTCTGCAAACTTCTTAAATTTTGCATTTGCACACAAGTGTTTGTGAGTGTGTCTGTCAGTTTTTGCATACTCCATAGAGCCTATTTGTGTTTCTGTATATGGGTGCGGGCAAGTTGGTTGGATGTTTGCATTTAAAAACATGTTGAGGTTAACATGATCTTTATTTGTGGTTAGATGAGTGATCTTTGCAGGAAGTATTGTTCTTAAGACAATCCCTCGGTAGAGTTGTCATGGTTAATAACCAGCATTTCATGTAACACTCATCTGAGAATGACAGGCACTTTGTTTTCACTTTCACTCCATTTGGATTGTAATAGGTGATGGGGAGTTCACTTCACAACTGCATTCAGCCAGATTTAGATGGGGAAATTTTGAACATTCTTATGTGACAGATATCTTATTACCTGCTTGAAAGGATTTTTTTTACTACCAGGCTGACTTCTGATAAAGATATGATCTATGCAGTTACTTTACAAACTAGGCTTACCATCTAGTGTTATGAGATCTAGTGTTATATATATATATATATATATATATATATATAGTGGGGTCTAAAACATTGAGACCAATAGTGGTAATGCTTTGCACAATTTGCCTTTTTTTCTAAATCAATAAAATGTTTAATTACGAACTACCAGCAAAACACTTTAGGTGTAATGTTTAAATTATGTGCATTTCAAAAATATCACTTTCTGGGGGGAAAAAAACCCTAATGAATCTATTTTACCTGTGGTTCTCAAGCTTTTCAATTTGTGTAAAATAATATTCAAAGACCCCTCATATCGTTACAAACTGCTCTGAGACTCGAAGGTTGAGAATCCAAATACAGTTTTTAAAGAGAAAATCCAAGATCATAAACTGTATAACAGGCAGTGGTCAAAAGCACAGGGTAATCAGTCCAAACAAAGACAAACAAATCCAGAGGGTGAGACAGGAACGGGAAAAACAGGACACAGGCAGATAACAAAAAAAGGAACATGGAAACAAGGGGAAACACTCATAAATCCAGTGTTCCACATACAAGACTAAGCAGGGAATGAATGTGAAAACCAGGCTATTATAAGGCGAGTTAACCAATAATCCAGAGTGGAGTTCCCTCTGGTGGTAATGATGGGCAATCTTACTGGAAATCGTCCCACATATAAGCCATGCATATTTCCCGCTGCAATTATTATTATTAAAAGAAACTGGGAATCGATTAAACACAATTATTCTTGTTATTCCAGAAGTTTCGACACTTTTAAACAAAACAGTTGAAGGAAAAAGAGGTTTGCTGAAGGGTTGTCGATATACTCACGGCCCGATATGTGAATGGTTCTTTTTCATTCTTCGCTTAGGGGTAAAACAAAGTTCAAAATACTTGAGTAGCGATAGAGGTAGGTTAGCGGTCATCTGACCCCACCCACACTGCTGAGAATGGCGTTTAGACAAATATGTAAATATGTGCTGCGCACTTTCCTCTCAATAACAAATGCACAACAAAATTGAAAAAACAGCAAGCATTATTTTAACCCTTGTGCATTGTTCAAATTCACTACCCTTTCGTTATGTTCATGGCTGAAAACAGCCAATACTTTAAACTAGATAAATATTTAGGCGAGGAGGATTCGGAGGATCCTGGATCTGGGTGGACTGGGAGAATCTTGAGAGGGACATGGTGGCTTAAAAATCACAGGACCAGAGGCGTGACTCCAGGTCCGACACGCTATGCCATCGCAAGGGTCCAGAACATGGATTCTGTGTTCAATCTGTTTTTTTATGGAGGAGATGATTGACCTCATTGTCAACATGACCAACCTCCATGGGCACCACAAAATGAGAAACTGGACCGGGGTGGACTCACATGGGACTAATGATTTTGGCTCCAGAGGGGAGCCCACACGTTGCCTGTGGGATGATCGAAGTGGTCGTGCAATTTTTAGAGCCACCAAGTCCCTCTCAAGCTTCTCCCAATCCACCCAGATCCAGGATCCTCTGAATCATTCTCGCCTTCAGTGGAAGCTTGAGATGATGACGAGGGTGCCAAATCCCCTGAGTCTGTGGTGTCAGAGTGAGAAGACAATACCTCCTGCAGCTTGCTGGAGGGGTCATAATCATCTCTAAAACTTCACTACAAGTCAAGCCCTTTCTCATGTTGCTTGCTGCTCTTCTCACCATCAAATGACAAGCGTTTATATCCACTTGCTTTGTTTTTGTTTAGTCTGCATTTCTCACCATCAAAAGGCAGCAGATGCATAAATACGCTTTGTTTCTGTTTACTTCATGTAGTTCTGAGAGCTGAAGTGCATATTTTTATTTTCTCAGACGCATCAAGTTGAGTTCTCACACTCTCTCTCACTCATACACACACACACACACACACACACTTTAATATGCTATTATACTCCATATAACTCCATGTAAAAGCGTTTTTTTTTTTTTTGCACAGGCCTGTCTAAAGGGTCAATGGTGCCACCTGGTTATCAACAGTAAAAACAAATGTATCTCTTCCCAACAGGGAAAACCACTAACAATCAAAAATGCATGATTATATGGTGTCATGGCTTTGCAATCAAAAAATGTGGTTATAATGGAAGTCAATGTGGCAAAAACAGCCACGAATGGTAAATAAGGGAGAAAAAGTTCAAATCTGATGCTACACAAAAACTAACAATGCATCAAAACCAATGTTGTTTCTAATCTTTGACATGTCCTGTGATAAAAGGGAAAAAAAATCCAGTCCAAAATCACATTTTACATTGAAAACATCAAAAATCAGTGACATCATTTATGAATTTGGCAATTAAAGAGTTAAATTCTTATGTGACAGATATCTTATTACCTGCCTGAAAGGATTTTTTTTCACTACCAGGCTGACTTCTGATAAAGATACTTAGGCTACTTATTAGAGTACTCTACACAGTTACTTTACAAACTTACTATCTAGTGTTATGAGATCTAGTGTTGAACTTTGAGACCAATAGTGGTAATGCTTGAGAACCTGCTTGAGAATCCATGGATCTAATCGAATACAAACTACGGATTTGTTAGTATACCCTAATTTGTCAGGTTGATTTAATCAGATTAAATAAAAAAATTTAAGAAACATAAAACCAGTTCATTTAGATGTAACAACACGAATTACATTTTAATCTCTTTTTTCTTCTTAATTTTACAGCCTAACTTTACTTCTGTTTCAAAATAAACGTTCCTAAACCGTTCTGTGTATTTCCAGGTTTAAAATGGTCTCTTTTGAACCCCACCAAATCTGATATGCCTCAGGATGCAAATTACTGACCAGGCAAGAGGTCATTATTGGAAGGATGTTTTGTGTTTAATGCACTGGCTTGTGTGGGACATGTACTGTTTGATGGCACTGCTGATCTCTTCTGAAATGCCTTTTAACACAATCGGAACACAAGTTCCTTCCTTTCATTGCTTAGATCTTATCACCTCACACATGACAGTCACAGCACAAAGAATGAAACTTAAAACATCTCAGTTTGTTCTTCTCAGAATTGGAGTCACCATTTTATTTTTTCGACAGTGTGTTCCCATAACAACCAGTAAAAAAATGTTTGCATGAACAAACAAGGATTACTTTAGGCCAGATCAAAAGACCATGTGATCTACCAGGTCAGCGAGAACAAAAGTATTGGTCCATTGTTAAGACAGGAGGACTAGAATAACTAGTTCTTTTAATCGAAATTATATGTTATGTGTCCCTTGACTAAATGACATTAAAAAGACAAAAATACAAAAGAGGCCATTCACGTTTTAAAGTTACTATGTTCAAACATACTTTTGATAGGCTAATTGTATTATACAAGGCTCCACCCAATGCCATGTACAAAAGGTAAGCGATGGTTTTTAAACAGAAACAGGTTTGTTGGAGGAGTGTCAGATCAGATCACAGTTTAGCTCAATATTGGTCTGATTTCAGTCTGCTTTTTTGAGTTACAACTAATTTTGTTAGTTGTATTGTTCTTTTGTTTATCATTTTTAATGACAGTTTCTGTTGTTTTTTGCCATTCTTATGTGGCATGTGAATAAGCACTGTTTCTCGACAAAATGTGTGATGGCGAGGAGGATGTTAAGAGATAGAGCAGCTGTTTACTGAAACACATCTCTTCATTTATCCGAGTCTAGCTGGTTTCTTCCTGTGTGAATTTATTGTTAAACACTATACAGTATGATTTAGGTCTAATATTAAGCTCTTATTTATTATGAAAAAAAAAACAATGTTCTTAATAAATATTTTGATCTTGTTTTGCAGTAAAACTATCAAAACATCATTAAAACAAGATTAAAAAAAATCCCTTGCATAAGACAACATAAGCTTAACAAGGCATGAAAACTAACATGAGCATGTTACTGCTTAAAATTAATTATTACTAAATAAATACCTATATTTTTTCCTATTTCAACAGATTAGTACTGTAAAAAACGCAATGCAATGTGCAGCTGAAACGGAAAAGAGCGGAGAAGTGCAAGCATATTATTTTTAAGCAATATCACACTCAAGAGTGCTGATATATTCAGACAAACAGCGTGGTTGTGAGTGTGATATTGCTTTTATGCAATACCTCAAACAAGTTATGTTGAGAAAATAAAAATGAACACAATGTTGGCTACTTTGTCTATTTTTGCTCCACCAACCAAATTATTTCCAAATGAACCCAGAGTCTCTAAACAACAAAGAGCAGTGGCGTTCCTCAATGATCTAGTGCTTTTGAATGAATCGTTGAGTGAATGATTCCATGATTTACTCATAAAATGAGGTGTTTTCCACTTCAAGCAGAACTATATCTGCAGGCAGATCAGTGTATGACATAGTGTATGACATAGATAGTGTATTTTGGGTGAACTATCCCTTTAAGTATCTGCATGAATCGGTGTGTTTGAATGAATCAGTTAAATTAATAATAAAATGACTCACTCATGGAGAGAGTGGTACGGATCTAACCAACAAAAAACATCACTGATAAATCCCCACCACTAATACACAGACTGACTGGAACACACACATTCAGACAGTGTGATACAAACAGTGAAAAGTCCCAGTGCTGTTGGAGCAAATTTGAAAACCGTTCTTCATTGGTGTATAATCTGTAACTGCTCTTCTTTGTCAAGCTAGTGAGTGGTAAACACAGCGATACAAGGGGCCTGGATCCACCGCTTTTCACTGAACCCCTTGAGGACTGTATAGTGGATGAAGGAAATGACATCAAACTGAAGGGGACTATCACAGGGAGTCAGCCAATCAACATTTCCTGGCTTCATAATGGTGAGTCCAGTTTTTGTTTATCCTTAATACTGAGTTTGCTACTATAGTCTGGCTAAGAATGTACACTATAGACTGAAGAAAATTATGTTTTCGCAAGTTCCTCTTCCTTACTTGACTTTGTAAGTTTAAATTGTTCAGTAAATTACAAAAAAGAAATATCAAGATTCATATTAATTACATGCATACTTATAGATAATGTTACACGTGCAAACAGAAAAACTGAATCTTTGAAATTTTGATGACTCAAATGTCTATCTTTTCTTAAAGGATTAGTTCACCTCAAAATGAAAATTTCCTAATAGTTTACTCACCCCAATGCCATCCAAGATGTCTTTCTTTCCTCAGTGGAAGAAAACAAGTTTTTGAGGAAAACATTTCTGGATTTTTCTTTGAATAATGGACTTTAATGGCAACCAACGTTTTGAAAGTCATCACGTCGAAAGGTCACGCTCGAATTCGCCGGCGCTGGCTGAAGTACCGCCCCACTGTTTACAAAGCAACCGAGCAAAGGATAGTTTAGATTGTATTGTATGTTGAATGGCATATTTATTTTTCTTTGTGTAACACTAATAATATTGTAATAATATTAATATTGAAAATGACCTATCGTTTCGCTAGATAAGACCTCAGCTGCGATCGTGCACAGCCCATTGAAGCACTTCAAAGACCTTTGAAACTGGTTGCCATTGAAGTCCATTATTTGAATAAAAATCCAGAAATGTTTTCCTCAAAAAACGTATTTTCTCTTCCAATAAGGAAAGAAAGACATATTGGATGGTATTAGGGTGAGTAAATTATTAGGAAATTTTCATTTTGAGGTGAACTAATCCTTAAATGCCACAAAGTCACCCCTTCTCTTTTTTCTGTCCATCTGTAATGTTACCATAACCGTTTTAGGTGAGTTTGTGCTGTTTGGTAAATCCTCATTTGTGGGAGGAAAGGTGAGTTTGGTAGTTAAGGAATGTCTCCCGGAGGACGCTGGGGCTTACACTTGTGTGGCCGAAAACACAGCAGGAAAAACATCCAGCAGTGCAGCAGTGTGTGTGAGAGGCAAGTATGTAGTCAAATTCAAGCCGAAGTGTGCCGGTGTTTCTGTTTACATCATATACAGAAGATTTTACCTTCTCTAATATAATTTATTTACTCCCCTTTTACTCCTCATTCTAACAAATCAACTGCAGACTATGAAACAATTGCTGGGATTCATAACGAGATGACCCAAACATCTCACTCGCATCCTAATTCTTCTCACACTCCTGATATGGTAAACGGGGTTTTCAACTTTACTCAGAACGTCCCGGAGGACATCAGTGTTTTTAAAAGCCCACAGTCGCCCCAGACAGGAAGTCCTATAACAAGCTCTCCAGCACTCAAAAGAGGTATGTCACAAACAATGGCCTTACACGAATTAATTTGAAAGATTAAAGTGTAGGAAATGTCATTTAATACATAGAACATTTTTGGTTCCTCCGAAGCTACATTGTCATTAGGCTGGTATCACTTCCTAAACTACATCTAAAGTGATTTTATAAAGCACGTTAATTTGTCACACTAGAAATCCAAATATTTCATGTAATTATTATACTGACATAGCTCATATATTATATTATATTATACTATATTATATATTAATTATATTATATTATATTATATATGCTTAGCTGCTCAGTATATTTTATTTTTACTCATAATGTATATAGACAACATAACAATTTATATATATATATATATATATATAAATAAAGGTAACACTTCACAGTTAGGTCTCATTTATCTGTTCATTGTTCATGTTCAGTGCATTACCTAATGTTAACAAATACTTTTGACTTTAATGTATTATATCTTATTATATATTATAACCTGACTGGTTATCATACTTATGGTGTTGTCACTCATTTCCTCTTTAATCTATTGAATATTTTTCTTAGACACGCATACCTGATCACCTGACTCCTCCCTTCTATGATAGGCAAAGCTTATGCTATCTATGCTCTTTAACACATTGTCTCTATGTCATGCTACAGAGGTGCTTGTCAAAAGAAGAAGCAGCTCAGGTACAGGTAAGACATCAACATGTCTGTCTTCCACTGTCAGTTCTACTTTTGAATCTTTTATGCTTCTAGGTGCAAGATTTACTTGTTCTTATCCTTAACTTAACAGATGAATCCCAGACTTGTGTTACAATTTTCTGGATTTCAGTGAAGATCTTTTCTTTCCTTCCTTATTTCTTAAAGGCAACCTTATTTATAGCCTCCCACACCCACACCTGCCTTGCTTTTCTTAATATTCTAATAACACCATGTCTTTTAAAGCTTTTTTGTCTTGAATTGCGAGTTAAAGTGTAACCACTGTGACCTGCTTTAAAAAAGTGAGCAATTTGCTCTGAGCGGCTGTGTTTCACTCTGCTGATCTTATAACTTCCAGATCAACTGGCTCTTCCAGGGTATTATAGTGTTGTATACAGAATAACAGGAAGCTGAATACAGTTTTTTTGTGTCCTGACTACTAATATTCAACTTAAGAATGACTTTATTCTTAACTACAGTAATCCTTTTGTCCATTGCAATATTATTCGATAAAACCTTCCATTAAACATCAACTTTTGCCTTACATTGAGTACTTATACCTTACAGACAGATAATCAGTTTAAGGATCCCAAATTCTTAGACTGAGGTATAAAATAGGAATTTATCAGTTTATAAGCATCACTTCAACATGTTATCAGCATTTTCTATGGCACTTCTGTTTTTAACTGGGCTGGGCAATGAAACACTGAATAATGAGTGTTTTCTTTAGGTGTTTCATGTAAAACACACTGCTATCTGTGGTACCATGTGGTTAGATCAGGCTTTTATCAAGCCAGTCAAGTCAGTCAAATTTAAGTGTGTTTATTTGAATAATTGCTGTATGGTGGCAGATAACCCTAAAAAAATATATATATATTATAAAATCATCAAATGAGGTTGTGTTTACAATTGTCTTATTTGACTATTTTTATTCATTAATATGAATAATATAATATCCACAAATGAGACAATTGTAAGCATATTACAATGTATTTCACCTTTATATAAAAATCTGAAAAGTAGAAGACTTAAGCAAAAGTACCCATTTGCTCTCCATTTAATCTCATTGCTGTCTAGAAAAAACAATTGAGATTTTATTTTCTTTCTCATGGGCTGGTGTTTACAGCACCTGTGCAGTTTGTGGATCCATTAGATCGACTGGAGGTGCATGTTGGAGAGACGGCCCGTTTGACGTGTGTCTTCAAAGGCAGCTGTCCTGTTGCGTCTTGCTGGGTCTGTAACAAAAAAGAGGTAAATAAGCAAGCACACTAACACAACACAATCCAGACATGTTTCATACTGCAGGTCCTCCAGTTTACTGTAGGTGTATAATTATCCGTATTTCCGAAGGTGGTGGAAAGCTCCAGGTTTCATATAGACTCCTGTGATGAAAGCAGTTCTCTAGTGATCTCTGAAGCTCTTCCTGAGGACTCTGGACGTTACACGATATTTGTGCGAGATCGCAAAAGTTCAGCGCAACACACAGTGACCCTGAATGTCATTGGTAAGGTCAGACAAACAACCCCCACATTGAGTGGTTTTTTAGGTTGTGATGCTCAGTTTTTAGTCTATTACTGTAACGTGTATGCTCTGTTTTGGTTCTGTGTTCCCTGTTCCCATTTGCCTGTGTGCCCTGACATTGTAAGGATATATTATGCTTTGAAGAATCACCCCCTATCCACATTCACTATTCCCTACATTACTTCACTTACATAAAGTAGTTCACTTGAAGGAGTGAATGAACAGGAGTGAGAATTTGGATAGTTTTGCATAGTTTGTGCTTGCTGTTTAATAATCATTTGAAACTTAGAAAACTGGAAGCTCCAGTAGTAATGAGAAGATTCATCTTGAACTCAGCCATGGAAACTAGCATGTATAAACCTTAAACAATTTAATATTCCCTTAAAAAGGAATTTATACATGTATGATATTATGCTGTAGCCAGAGTGGACCAGCGGTTTGTAAAATGAATGGATGGATGATTCAGCAGCGGGCGCCATCTTCTGGTCAGATATAGGAATTTATTCGATTGTACTATGGTTATTCTCTAGCCGTTGAGCTTACATCGGTAGTACACTCGTTATTACAGTGCATTGTGGGATTGAATGAGTGCACTCGATAATGTCCACTATTGTTTCGGACACCACTACAAATGGATGTCGCCTCAAATAGCGTTCTATTTAAGGGTATAGGGGGAAATTTCGGACACAGCTCTAGTTTCCTAGTGTGTGCCAGTTTGTTCCCTTAGTTACTGATTAAGTTCACCTGTTGTTCATTTAGTTACCTAATTTCTCCCTGTGTATTTAAGCCCCTAAGTCTCCCCAATAGTGTTGTCAAAATTATAGATTTGGGTGACAAGAGTACTGAAATTTTAAAAAAATGTGACGCTTTGAGCGGAATCGTAAACACGTAAACATGTTTTTCATTCTTGAATTTAAATTATTTTTTTATATTTTTGAGGGACTTGAAGTCAAGAATTCCTGTAACTGTACAGGGACTGAATAAAATAATTAGACAATAAAATAAAATAATATCATTAAAAAAGTAAAAAGGTATGTAATGATTAAACTTTTATTAACAAAATAATAAAAAAATTATTTATATCAAAACTTTGCTCTTTTAGCATTAGAGATATTTTTTTGATTGTTACTTTTTTTATTAAAAGTTATCTTATTTATGTCAAATGGAGTAACCATACTATTATGTCAGATATATTCAAGCCTACAAAACACATTTACCTTATCAAAATCTCACTTCACATGTAGAATAATTCAATTAAATTTTCATAGAAAACGGTACAAACATTTGATGATGTGATTTGTATTTATGCGTCTTTTATCCAGACCTGCCACAGCCTCCTGCCTCCTGTCCCTTGGCGTGCGTTCTCTCCCCTCACTCTCTGGTTTTGTCCTGGTCTGGGCCATCTTACGACGGTGGCAGCGCTGTGACGGGATACGTGGTGGAGGTTCGTGAAAGCCCTGGTGAGACTGACCACTGGAAAGAGCTCACGGCCCAGTGCAAGAGCACCTCACTCAGGGTGACATCAGGACTCCAGCCTCAGGGAGAATACTGCTTTCGCGTCAGGGCCTATAACGCTGTGGGCATCAGTGAACCGAGCCAAGAGTCCCAGCCAATCAGGATGGACAACCCAGGTGAGGTTTTTTCTGAAATGTTATAAAAGTTGATGACTTTTAGTGGTCTTAATGTACTGTATCTTTTATGCTGAATAAATTGCTCTTTAAATGCAGCCCCTTACTGGCTTGTAATTTGAAGCTAATATTTTTTCACAATTATGGGAACAAGATCCAACCAGATTGTAAACAGGAAGAATGCTTTTAAAGTCATTACCAAAGGGGATGCAATCTAAGGGTTGAGGCTTTGAGTTGAGGTAAACAAATAAAGAAGTGTGCACACTGAAAGCTACTGCTCTAAAGGATTTATTAAAAGGCAACTTTGTGTGTGTGTGTGTGTGTGTGTGTGTGTGTGTCCGATTAAGGTGATCACCTGTGTCTATTTAAAGTTGACTTCACTCTACATTGGAATTATGCCTGATGAAGACCTGAGGGTTGAAACGTTGCCTTTTAATAAATCCTTTGGAGCAGTAATTTTCAGTGTTCGGACTTCACACTTCTTTATTTGTTTATATCACTTAGTTGTCCTGCACCCCCAAAAGTTTGGGATGTGCACACCATTTTTGTATTTTTTTGAGTTCCCATGGTCCCATGGTGAATGAAAGCATGTTGTCTTTCAAAGCAGAGCCCTGTGACGAGAAACCAGTGGAGTATGTGAATGTCACCATCAACACTGAGAATAAACTTTCTGACCACTATAATGTCCTGGAAAAACTAGGAGTGTGAGTATCCTTATAAAACGCACACATTCAGCGGGCCTCATAGCTCTCGTTCGCAGGACAAAACTTCTAAGTGCATACATGTTCCTACAGGCTTACTTGCATCAAAAAGAGAAAACAACCCACACACTTGACCCTGATTCCCAGAAAAAATCCTAGATAAATGATCATGTTTACACAAAGAAAAGAAAAATAAGTAGGGTTAAGTTAGAGTCACGGTTGGTACATTTTGAGTGGAAATTGCATCATCCATCATAACCTGTAATTCATAGATTTGAGGTGATAAAAATAGGTTTTCCTATTTCCTTTTAACTGATTTAAGGCGATATCAAATTCTCTTAATTCTCAAGAACTAGATAAATGGGAAGTTAGGATATAGAGAAACAATGATTTCATAATCTTCCCCAGAGGGAAGTTTGGCCAGGTGTTTCGGATGACCCATAAGGAGACCGGACGTGTATGCGCTGGAAAGTTCTACAAAGGTCGTCGGGCAAAGGAGAGAGAAGCCGCGAGGAAAGAAATAGAGCTAATGAACTTCTTACACCATCCGAAACTGGTGCAGTGTCTCGCCGCATATGATAACAAGGCAGAGATGGTCATGGTGATGGAATAGTGAGTATCTTGCATGCTGGTGTTTTGAAGAGTGCAATGTTTTTAGAACAATATGCAGAAATGAGAAATGCCAACTGGGTCAATGCATTAACTTCAATAGTGACAATAGTTTGATCATCACTGCAGTATTTTTGGCACCTAACAGCTGAATCTGTGTCTGTATGTGCAGTGTTGCTGGTGGGGAGCTGTTTGAGCGTATTGTGGATGATAGTTTTGAGCACACAGAAGTGTCTAGTGTGGGCTACATGCGTCAGATTCTGGACGGGATTCAGTATATGCACCAGCAAAACGTCATCCACCTGGACCTCAAACCTGAGAACATCGTCTGTGTGGACAGAACCGGGTTTCAGATCAAAATCATTGACTTTGGACTCGCTAGCAAGCTGGGTACGAATGTGCTGATGAAACTGTCAACACAACAACATAATGCTGTAATAAAACTGTGTAATAAAATAACAAAATAAAGTAAAATATATAATAAAATATATACATTCAAAATGTCAAAATAATATCACACTTAAATATTGTTAATATAAGTAAAAATATAAAATATATCATAAATAATAATATTAGCTATAGTGTTATAGATGACATTTAGTTAAATTAAAACTAAATGACATTGATTTTACATTTCTAACAAATACCATGTTTTATAGGAAATGAACGGTGGCAATAGCAATACAACTTCGTAGTACCATCTAAATACAACATATGCAGATATTTCTATGGTAATCTTTCAGTATTATGGTATAGATCATTTGCAAGATGTAAACAACACTGGTCCAGAAACACTTCCTGTTTCAGTTTGTAAATGTTTTCTTTATTTCACATGTAAAGAAAAAATCTTAAAGATGTTTGTTTAACTTTTTGATTCAGTTTTATATGTTCTGTTGGATGTATTTTATCCCAGCTTCTGTGCAGTGTTAAAAAAACTGAAACAGGAAGTGCTTCTGGACCAGTTTTGTTTACATCTTGCAAAATGGTCTATATAGCGAGTTACCATGTTGTTGATACACAGTAAGTTATCTCTGAGTGAAATGTTTGCAGAGTTAACTTATTATCGTTACTACAACTAAAAATGTAATAAAATTTATTTTTTATTTTTCATATTTAAAAAAAAAACTGCTAAAACGGGAGGGGGACACATAAAATTATTAAAAACTGGGGAAAAAAAGTCAAAATATTGATAAAAAATGTTTATAAATGTATAACACTGTAGGTTTGTTATGTACATTAGATCCCAACACACCTCTGAAGGTGATGCATGGCACTCCAGAATTTGTTGCTCCAGAAGTCATCAACTTTGAGCCTGTCGGTCTGGCCACTGACATGTGGAGCATTGGTGTCATCTGCTACATCCTGTGAGCTCAGCTCTAACACTGCCAGTCACTTAAGCGCTTGTTGCCCCCTAATGGCTAATCATGCCATTACATTTAATCTGATTCTGATTCTGTCCTCTTGTAGGTTGAGTGGTGAATCTCCATTCCAGGGTGAAAGTGACACAGAGACTCTGGCTCTCGTGACAGCAGCGAAGTGGGAGTTTGATGAGGAGAGCTTTGAAGATATCACAGACCTTGCAAAGGATTTCATTAGCTCTCTGCTCAGCAAAGATGTCAGGTGCTTTATTATCCTTCACGTCCCTTACACACATCATCATACAGATGCATCCATACAGATTCATAACTGTGCGTTGAACCCTCTGACAGGCGTAGGATGTCATGTGAAGATGCCTTGGCTCATGACTGGTTGGCATGTACGTGTGTAGACAACACCAGCAGCGCCACCAAAAACCTTTCAAAAAACAAGATGAAGAAATTCCTGACTAGGCAGAAGTGGAAGGTAATCTTATTACGAAGTTAACTTCTTTTAAATTTGGGTAGCTAACTGCATGATGTTATTTGAACAACGCTTTATATAAATACAATATAGGTAGGTCTAAATCCGTTTGATCAGTGTTATACAAATAGTCTATATTATCATATTGTCCAGCCCTAAATCTTTATAGTTTTTTTTTTTTTTTTGGTCAGTGTTTATTAAAAACATCCAATAATGCAATGATAAAGCATATTAACACAAAATGATAACTGCAAATCCACCTTTCGCTGACTGGAGTCTAGTTGTTTCTGTCAATTGCAGCGATCCATTTGCTCCTCTTTCTATAGCAGTCTGTAAAAATATACCTCGGATTTTTTGTCAAATCTAGTTGTACAGTCAATCGCAAAGCTCTTTCCCACTTTATACGTGTTGTGTTTGTTTTTTGCGGCATTCACGCTGAAAACAAATACAGCCGCTCAGTCTTTTTGCCACTCACTTTGAGTAAAACAGCCATGTCATGTTTTTTTTACTGTTTTCTAAGGGTTTCTTAATTTTAGACTAGTTGACCAGCACACATTATTTTGTAATGCAACATTAATCATGAATAAAATATATTACAGTCACTGGCGTAGGAACCGGGGGGGACGTGTCCCCCTCAATATTGAAAAATGCGGTATGTGTCCCACCCAAAAAATTGCATACCTACCGCAGGAACACAAACTGTACATTTGGAACTTTTATTTTTAATGCGCGACAAAGAAGAGATTCTGCCAGCAAGTCAAACCCAGAGTGATAGTTAGGTTAAACCCTTAAACCCGGTTAAACCTTCCCATTTCATGTTTGAATAATCACCATTCGCTTCATGTATTTCACTCACCGGAGCATCTGATTGGTAGAGAGAAGTTAACTAACGCACCAGCTTTGAACTGGAACCTACATGATTTATCTAATCATGTTACTTATAATATCACATACCTTTTTTGCAGTTTGAATAAATAATAAACACAGCAGTTTTAACTCTTCTCCTCTTTATTATTTCACACATCAGATCAACTCGCGACCGTACTAAGTGCGCAGGACCCATCTACGGCAAGCACCGAGGGGAAAAATACACTTGCATACACACATACAACGAGCGCTAGTACATCAGTACCTGTATTATAGTAACATACTTTGTTGGATTATGTCATTTACAATCCAAAAAAGTCTGTTACAATAATAATAATAAAAAAAAGATTTTGAGGACAGTTACACTGTATTGAGACAGTTGAGAAATAATAATATTTTTTACAGTTTTCAACAATAATTGTCATTATTGAACACTTGCTCTTATTTTGTTTCTGATTTCTCAGTTTTCTCATTATTTTAGCAAATAATATATTTATATATATATATTGAGATGGTTTGTTTTAAGAAGTTTCAAAGAGTTAGTAAAAGAGTAAAGCAAAAGTTAAAACTTTTTTTAAGTAGGCCTAGGCATCTATTTTTTTTATTAAGTATTTATTTTTTATTAACACTGCATTCATTTATAATGTATCATTATTGCATGACATTTGTGTCAATAATCGTCAAGCACAGGTGACTTCGCATAGTGGGAGGGGGCCCCAAAACAGACCGCCACTGCATGTACCACATCACCAAACTGTATGTTACTATTATGGTGGTGGGATAGACGTTGATTCATAGTGGCCAATATGGCCCAATGTCAAAGATGTTCCTACGCCCTTTATTACAGTGCAGTGCAAGTAAAATGTAAGATTTGGGTCAAATTCAAAAAACTTTAGAAGTCAAAACTAGAATTATGAAGACAGGCATGTGTTTGTGTGTGTCTTGCATTCTCTAAAAATAATGACTGCTATTTTAGAAAACTGGCAAAGCTCTGCTGGCTCTGAAGAGGATGGCTATCTTATCTAAACCAGAGGCTTCTGGAAGCTTGAGCCCTGTAGATGGTGAGAAAGAAATTAACAAAAAATCAATGTGCTTCAGAAACAAGTGTATAACGTCGCACAATGTCAGCATTTGTGACTTGTGACATCTCTGCCAACTGTGTCTCACTGAAGATGTTAAATGCTCTTTTTATTGCAGTGATAAATGATTTTACAGTTCAGTTTCTTGCTATTATATGTGTTATAGAGACAGATAAAGCAATGCAATCTCTGGAGCTTAAGCTTCAGTGTAAACCTGAGTTCAGCAAGACTCTGTCGGACTTGACCGTCCCACAGGGCTCCAGCGCACAACTCTCCTGTCTCATCACAGGTAAGGACCACACCAGTGGTTGTCAGTGACCTTCTCCAAGACTTCACAGCCAGTCTCTCATGAAGTCACTGTTTCTTCTCTTTGCGTTTCAGGTTACCCTGACCCTGAGGTGGTGTGGTTGAGGGATGGCGAGCTGCTGGAGTTGCAGGACGGGTGTGTGACGGTGGACTATGAAGAGAATGGCAGCTGTACGCTCACCCTAGAGAACATCTCTCTCCACCACAGCGGCCTGTATTCTTGCAAAGCCACTAATGTACTCGGGGAGGCACTGTGCTCTGCTACACTTATTGTAGAATAAACAGACAGGCACATGGATTCATAATATCACATACAAAACAATCACAATACAACATCCACACACCAGAGAGATTCAAATATACTGATGCAATCAATGGGGATATAAATGTGAATTCAGTGTTAAAACTGTAATAAAAAATCTAATTTATGTTGTCATTTATTATCATTTGTTTATGGGAATATTATTGGACCATTTATCATTGGCGATAAATATAAATATCATAACATCACTGACCAATTAATATCAGTGATCGATGTTTAGTGACATCATTGTTTGTGACATCTCAATATAGACACAGTTTACACAAAATATTACACAGCTTAATCAATATCTGAGTCTGAGTTTAAATAGATTCACCCTATTTGTTTTATAAATATATGTTATAGATCTTCTTGTGAACAATTCATGCAGCGATGTCTCAAATTCCTTAGTTCATCTGTCAAAAGTAAATATCTGTGTCAATGAACATGTCAGTGCCATCAGAATGACAATTGCTTGTGTCATTGTGTACAGATAAGACAGTCAAATTGCTTAGTCATGTTGTCAATATAGCAGTGTACTCTGGTGGGATGTTTTGATGTAAACTATGGCCAAAGTTTTGATGATAATTATTGTAAATTGTAGGTTACACACCTTATGTGGGTGTTTGATTGCAAGAGACTAGACTAGATTCACATTTATGCTTTTCGTACTGTAATCTGTTGACAAACCATGTCTTTGGAAAATACAGCACTGCAAAGCACAAAGAAAAAAATGTGAACAGGACAGATTTAGAAAAAAAAGTCTAATGGAAATATGCTTTGATTATGAAAACTTGTTCAACCATTTTGCATGTAATGGTTGAACAAGTGTGTGTGTGTGTGTGTGTGGGGGGGGGGGGGGGGTTGACAATTCAGAGACCCATTAAAATACATTATGTTCAACATGACATAAGCAATTGATAATGTAGGAAACAGCAGAGAATTGTACATAATCATTTGCATGGATGTACCAAAGCATTTGCAACTTGTTCAAAGACATAGTGACACAGTGATGTGAAGATTGAACAGGTAGTTTTGAGAATTTCAATTCTGATCTGAGAAATGTACCATAGCGACTGAGAAAAACTGTATTATCCAACCAGGCTGTTCGCAAAGTTTAGAGATGCGTGTCAATAAAAGAATGCACAAGAATGCACAATTGCACATAGAATGACAAAGACAAATGCTGTTTAAAATATCATTGGCATTCTAAAAGCCTCATACACACTAATCTGAGCCTGTGTTTGTTTCAACTTTAGCAGTCTGTGGAAAGTCTTTCCATTCTTTTAAATCTCAGCTAATCTTATTAACTTTGTTGGAAGTTTGTCTGCTCTGATCACAAATTTGGTAACCAAATTAAATGTGTACTGATCTCAGTGTAAAGGAAACCTTAGACACATATGCAGTTTTGATGATACATGTTACTGATGCTGTACATACAATTTTGACAAAGTGAGGCCATTTTGTGGTCTTTTGATACCAGCCATTTGCACGAGGTTGACGTGTTCATATCAGTAACACTAAAGGTTGCAGTCTCTTGTGACCAAAGCATTTGCTTGAAATGAAAAAATAAATCACCTAGGCTTTTAAAAGCCAGATTTTATGACAATTCTGGTTTATTAGGCATCGGAAAATAAACAAATGAAACCATATTTTTTCATATACATATACATATATATATGGTTGGTTGCTTATTTTATGTATAAGAAATGGATATTCAACAGGTTGCATGTCATATGTCACCGTTTGTTCCTGATTAGTCACATTTCCATATGATCTAAACATAATCCAGCAATAAACTGAATTTTCCCTCTTATTTAGTGTGTCATAGTCATTTTCCTACAATTTGCATCTGCAGTATACAGGGGGAAAAAATCATCTACATGGTTTGTCTGATGAAACAGCATTTTTTTTTTTGTTTAACAAACCTAAATGGAGAGGCAGATGAGAACAAGACAGAAGAAAGTCCATCAATGCTGTATTTTCTTGTTCAACATCCCCATGTGAATTGACCTGACCTGAGGTCAAAGGCCAACAGCACAAGAGGAAGAAGGATAATATATCCCCAAAATATGTGCTATCTGGCTCCTTCTGAACATCTTTCAAACAATGGGTGACTTCATTAATATGAGAGTAAGTTTGGTGTATGCAGGTGTATTTTTCTTCTAGTCTAGTAAACCACTAACACCAGATTTAATAAGTGTTTTACTATAACCTTGATATTTGTAGTAAAACCATGGAAGAAAAATTATTAACTGATCAATCTGCCCCCAAAACGTTGCGTTTTCGTTTAGTTTCTGGTCACCAGCATGAGATTCTTGTGGCCCCAGCAGGCTTTTTGACTAGTTTAACAAGCAAGGCTTATGGTCAACCAGCTTAGCAATCACTAAAAAAACACTCTAATACACCAAAACCAGCACCAACCAGCATAAAAATTATCATACTGGTCTTTTCAGCACGTTTGTGCAGAGTACTTGACATGGGTGTGGGAGAGTTAAACATCAGAAATTTTGGCCACGAATTAAGAATTTTGTTCCTACAGCTTATTTTGTTCCCTGTTTTTAATTGGTTCCCTTGTTTTCATTAAAGGGATAGTTCACCCCAAACTGAAAATGTTGTCATTTACTCATCCTCGTGTCATTCCAAACCTATAACTTACAACTTTAATCTTCGAAAAACAAATCAAGATACTTTTTAATGAAATCTGTGAGGTTTCTGACCCTCAGTGGAAAGTCCAAGAAACTTTCAAGATTCAAAAAGGTCTTAAAGCAATCATAAACTGAATCTATAGACCTTATTCAGAGCAGCGCCATGACAGGTATGAAAGTGAGGCTGTGAGGGATACGTAGACTTACCATGTTTCCAATGGCATCCGCTGTAAAAAGCTGAATAAAGCTCCCAGATTACTTACAATTTTCCACAACTTACATTGTCGGGAGTTTTTTGTCAACTAAAACTTATTGGAAAGATATTTTTCAAGTGTTTCATGAGCAGAACAATCCGAAAACACATTAAATAACAGTACCGCCCATTGAAGAGATGCAAGTCTATCCCTCACAGCCTCGCTTTCATTCTCATTAAAAAACAAAGATGGCGCTGCCGTGAATAAGGCGTATACACTCTCAGAAACCTAAAGAGTGTACATTAGTACCTTGGTACCAATACATAGTACCTAAATGTTACATATTATTATGTATTAAAAGGGTCTTGTCCAGTGACAGCTTTTGAATCGAGTGTATGAATCCTAAATTAAATCTAAAGCAATCGCACCTCTTGACTTGAATTAAACTATTCATTTTACATCGTCTTTTTGGATCTTCTATGGTTTGGTTACCTGGACTTTCAATGGAGGGACAGAAACCTCTCAGGTTTCATTCAAAACATGTTTGGAATGACATAAGGGTAAGTAAATGATGACAGAATTGTAATTTTTGGGTGAACTATACTTTAAATCATGGTCAGATTGAATAAAATAAAAACAAGTGAACAAATTAGCTCAACATGGCCACGACTGAACTACAACAAGCATGTCATGCGCAGGGGCTGTTGGTTTGTCGCTTTAAAACAAATGATCTTGCTTGAAACAGATGTGTAGCCTATTCCAAGGCAAAAAAGTGGGAAATAAGCTGGTTTTGCAAATGGTCATTTGACCTTCTTAACGCAAATATATCACAGATAATAGATGACAGAAACATCAATCACAAGCTGATGTTGTACTATAAAAACCACACACACACACACACATCAAGGAGCACCAGACTTTATTTCTCTCACACTGACAAAGAATGGAGATGTGGAAAACAAAAACTTCATCTTCCCAGATTGTAGACGGGAATTTCTCCAACATTTCATCCCACGACCAACTCTGCAAAGGATCGTACAACACAATCCTAGATGTCCTAATGCTTTTTTTCAATCTTCCGTTAACCCTCTATGTGGTTGCAGAACTATTTTTGAAACAATGTGCAACATTTGCACGTCCAGGAAACTCGTCTACCTCTTCCCAAAACGAACTCCTCTTTCTTCATCTAGCTTGCTGTCATGTCTTCTATTACGTCAGAGTTATGCTGAACATCGTCCAGAACCTTGGTGGAGTGATTGGAATCAGACAGGAATACATTACAGCCTTCCACAGCAGCAGTTTGATTGGAGCATCCTTGTTTTTCACTGGCATGTCCATCGACTTGTATGTAGCTGTGGCTCATCCTGTAGCCTATGTGAACCAGAAAGCTTCCACAAAGCAAATACATGCACATATATTCTGTACATTTGTTTGGATGTACACTGTCACCATAGGAATAGTCACAGTCGCTTTTAATTTCACAATGTACCATCCGTTGATTTTGGCTTCATTTTGTGCAGCAGTCCCTGTGAGTTTCATCTTTTGTCTGGTTATACTGATCATCTTGCATAACTCTGGATCAGGAAAGGGCAGTCAGACATCTAGACCTGACAAAATCAAACAGACTGCTATTCGGTTCATCTTGAACAGCTTGATTATATTATCATTTTACTTTCTGCCTCACATCTGCGTAATGATCTACATTTCAGTAAAAAAGGCTGACTGGTTTCATCTGCCATGTGAAGCTCTACCTCTGATGCTTACCGTCCAGATATCGGAGTTTGTGATGCCTCTCGTCTTCTTCCATAACACAGGAAAACTGAATGTGATAGCTAAACATTGTTCAAAATTCTGTCGCAATATTGGCAGTTGAAGGAGAATTGTCAAAAACTGGATCCACATTCTGCGAGTCGTAACTTTTGCACTCCATCCACAGTAATAGACAAAGAAGAAAATGTGTAGATTTACATCAAATGTATAATTTAAAATGAATCCAGTGAGTGAAACCTGGCTGTGTTTGAACAGAAGAGCGTTTTAACGTTTTAAACACTGTGCACACTCACCAAAGGTTTGTTAATTATCAGAGAAGCCACATTTTTGCTTCTCTACATGTGAAAAATAACCTGAAAATTGTCTTGTAAACGCATAAAACTTAATAGTTTACACAAAGATTTCAGAATTACACTTTTATTCAAAGGTTTGGGGTAATATTGGGAAAATGTATTACAATTTAAAATAACGATTTTCTACATGAGTATGTTTTAATATGTAATTTGAATTTTCAGCATCATTA